AGAATTTAATTTCAAAAAAAGCCACCTGGATATACATAAAAGAGATCTTATACATACATACGCGAGAACGGAATAATCCGCGTATAGTCGGGGCATACGAGACGAGCGCACACGTGCGAAGAAGAAGGTGCGAAAAAGGAAATCCGTTCGTTTTATCCTGATTCGGTAGAATTTTTAACGCGTTCAAATACATAGAATGCCGCACATCATAAGGATCAGCTCAAATCCAGCCAGGACAATTATTAAAGATCCAATACAGAGAAGCACGACCTGGGGTAGGAAAAACTTACGCAACCCTAGGGAGGACTTATGTGCAACCTTTATGAGGGTAGAAAATAATTCGACAGTGGAGTGTGTGCAGTACCGTGTTACAGTCATGCGACGGTCATATTTCCAGGACAAAATTCGAGCGCGCGTTACGGCAAAGGACTCTCCGGGAGAGGAAATGTGCTTGTTACGGGAAAGTACAGTCGTTTATTATTTCTATAGAAATGCTAAATTAAAATGTTGTTTAAAATAACAATATAATTGCCACATCACACGGATGAATAAATGATTAAAGCACGTTACATTACCGCGGTTTCCCACGTTTACGATACAAACGGCAATCCCGTGTGGAATTCGTTTGTAATGCATGCGAACATGCAGCATTTCAATTACGCATAAAATATTCTCTTTACGCGGCAAATAGGTGGGAGTTGTAATGTCATATGCAACGAGAAATTGGATTATGGATAAGTAACGTTTCAATATATTTTATCACAACTAAATTTCATTACGTTTTGAAATTATCTAGCGCTCTCAAGATTCTCCGTCCCTCCCTATCTATCCACCTAGCTGCACTGAAAAATATGTAGTATTTGAAACTATAATTGCATAGTAAAATAATTATAAACTACAATTAATATTTTCTCGGTCCTTTTCTGATATAAGTCAAATTGAAACTTAAACGCCATATTTTTAGGACCTGGCAAGGTGGTGGACCTGTCATTTGTGAAATATAATCGCTTATTATTTAAAAACTATCATAGCCCCGACATTTTTTTATTAGAATTTTCCTCTTGAAAGTTTCTAAAGAATTTATGATTAAAAGGATATCCGGTGATTTTAGTACACCCTGTATAGTAAATAAAATCACAATAATAGTAAATTTAACTACATTTCTATTATCCACCTTACTAATCACATGGTAAACAAAGGTGAAGTGGTTCGGAATGTCCTCACTAGAGGGACGCGCGGTATAAGACGTTCTCATAAGAAGAAAACCGCAAAGGATGTTATGAGTACGGATAAGTTTATACATTTATATAAGATTACTTATCTTTTCTTTAAAAGATGCCTTCTTGCATTATTCTTTATGAGTGCAAAGTGATGTAACCAATGAACATAGTGAACGCAATGTATATTGAATAAAAAGCGGGGAATATTACTTCCAATATAAATACGGTTATTAATTACATATAGTTATTCGAAATCTTACTTGTGGTTGTTATTGCAATATTTATAGGTAGTACACTTTACCAAATTAATAGCTCGTTTTGGTTTATGACAACTATATCGTAAGTTGCATGGACCAATAATGTGTCTATGAGAATTATAAGATTTGTTAGGTCAACCATAACTTACGTAGTTAAAAGAATTATAAAAATGTGTGATTGATTCCTACAATGACTATAAATTATAGTGAGATTGTAACTGCAACCATTTTTTTCTGTCAGTGTATGTATCTATGTCGTCTCTGTTTCTCTCTCATATAAAAATGTTTATATAAAACTTTAAACTCAAAACTTTATATAAAAATATAGAAATTGGAAAAACTTGGTGCTTTAAGTTCATGCTTTAGCAATCTGCAATATAGAAAATCCCATCAAGTAGAGAAAAGTCCCCTTATGGGATAGGCTCCTAATATGAGACGGCGGAGTTTCTGCTAAATTAATAGCATCATCTATTGGTTCCACCATGAATTTATTGCCCTTGGAGTGAAATCTGTTTAGTGGAAAATTGATTGTTGGATCGTGTAATCGTTGCGAAAAAATATTTCCGATTGAATTTGAACGTTGGAAACCTACTATCTCATATTAGAATCTTATCTCATAATAGAGAACTTTCCTCTATTGAATTCTGATCACTTGCGTTAAATATAATGTTTAGAAAAAAAGTATCATAATCAAAGTAAAGAAGTGCAGATTTAGAAAAAACAAATAATTTCGAAAAGTGTCGGGCTGTTCGACAAATCTGTCTGACAAATATCTCCCATAAATCTTTGTAAAAATTTGAACACGGGAAAGGCGGAAAATGCGGCAGCGTCTTTCAGGACTTACAGGCTTCACGTGAATTAATGCGATCTAGTCCATCCTGATCTACGACAAAATCTTGTTAGTACACCTCAGCGAGCGGCTGAAATTCATGTCTTCAACGGCGTTGCAAAGACAAACGTACGTAATTAAATGCCCACGTGAACGATATAACAAGCAGATATCGGAGAGGCGAACGGAATATTTTCCACGGCTCCTAAATGCGTCCTGAATTAATGATGGCAGGTTTCTAATTCGCGACGAGATTCAATTAATACGCCCGAACGATTAGCTGGAACTCATCACAATAAAGGCGGACGAAAGTCGAGCGACGCGTAATCTACACATGTCACGATGCAAATATGTTAAAAATTACATTTCTTCATAAAGTATGATTTCTTTGCACACAACGTTCATATTTATTGCGTATACGTATCATACATATATGTATAATTGTACTGGCTTTAAAATAAGACTGTGATCGACTCCTTCGACGATTACTCTGATAATTGAACAAAAGTACCCGTGTGTATGAAAGAAGTGGGGGAGAATATGATAGAGGTAAATTTGGATACTGTAATAATAGATACTGAGAGAAGAGAAAGGGAAATTTTTATAATTCTACAATCTTGTGACACATTGAAGAAATAATTGCAAAGTGTGTGATTCTACATGGGGTGTGTAACTGGGTGATATAAAGAAATAAATATAGATGATGTTTGTTCTAATGTAAATGAAGTAGAATTTCAATAAGAGATGAAGATTGAATAAATTTCAGATTGCTTTTAAAGTATCTAAATAGAATTACTTGACACGAAATATGTTTTATATAAAAATATAGTCGAATATAAATATGAAAACATTTGTTCTGTTATTCCTACCACGTATATTTTAATACACCGCAGGGAATCGAAAGAAAATATCGCCAAAAGAAATCAAGCCACCTCCCTATGTAAATCAAAAAGGTCTCGTCTACACCTCGAGATTCAATTAATACACCGCAGCAACGGTTTCCGGCGTCCGCTAGAAGCGCAACGCATTGTAACGACGGACGTCCATGTCAGAGGGGCTTTACAAGGTGTGCCCAATAAAAGTTTCAGGACTTGTCGGATGGAACATCGAAAATCTCTCACTGAAGGAGTGTAATGCACAGCTATTGATTGCCACGGATGTTAAGACCTCAAGAAATTTTTATAAATATTCTGCAGAGCAGCACTTTTTGCTCCTTATGCTCCATATACCTTTTTAATAGTTTATTTATAACTGTTTTTCCCTTGTCTTTTAAGTAAATAACGTGAAACTCAAATGAAGAAACATATTAACAATCGCGATCAGAAGTGGAATTATCTTCGTTCCGGTGATGTTTTTCATATTTCGGAATGTATTTTTATTGCACTTCATTTGATTGTGCGCTGCTGCAATTATTGGCTACGAGAGTTTACGATAATATTATTTATAAAAATAACAGCAATTTCATAAAACTTTTTAATTACAAATATTATAAAATAGTTTAGCTATTGCCTGAAGTACATTATATGTTTCTATTACATTAATAAAGTTTTTACTAATCTCAGTAAATCTTTTTAAAAAAGCAATTTAAAACATTAAATAGCTCTTGGCACTTTTCATCACACTCACACTTCCACAGGCAATATTTCACTCAAATTACTTTCATTCCTAATTACGGCTGACACCCGTTGTTTCGATGTTATTCATAAGATTTCACGAAATTTATGTCTTATTTACGTCCTCAGATTATAGCAACAACGTAATGGCGTGACTGTGCCGACGTACTTTTTGTTACGTTGATTTTGTACGCAGCAGTCATCAAATGGTACTTGAAAGAAATCAAGTTTGAATATGATGGACGCTTTCAGACCAAGCTTTTTCACGAAAAGTGACGTCGCGGTGATAGATTCTTGCACAATAGCATTCGATACAACACGACACAGAAATTAAATAACGCTGAATTGAAATTAAACAACGGCTATTTTATATTCTTTCAGAGATGGATTTAACAGGATGGCGATAGTTATTGTTCGGCAACCGGTCGAATGTAATTCAAATTCGACAAAAATTGATCTCCGAACAATTGGCATTCGTGCCAATATCAATCTACGTTCCCCGTCCGCTCTGATTCCCCGGTTCGTTCATTCAGTCCCAGAACTTCTCGGACATCCCCGGTGGCACCCTCGGAATAATTTACGCGCGGCGCGCGCGAAGGGATTATTTTAATTAATCGCCGGAGGCGGGCGCGCCCGCGAGCGACAGTCGTAAGGACTCCGCGGGAAAAAAATGGGAGGAGAGCCCAGAGTCCTCCCCTCGGATTCGCGAGTTAAGCGGATTCGGTCGATCGGTCGATTCGCGGGCGTGTTCAATTAGCGGGAACGCCGAGAATGGAATTGCGCCGTGAAAATTTCACCGCGGGAAATCTCGGAATGCCGTCCATCAAGCGGGTGCCGAAAATAACTTGGAGCAGGCACGAAGGAAGGTAGGAGGAGGCCGTCCGCGCGGCGCACACAGGATCCAGCGTCCGTCGTCTGCGATCCACGACGTGGATCCGATCAATACGAGACCGCAACGCGCGCCCACCGACGATTCTGGCGGATCCTCCACCTCCTCCTCCTCCTCCTCTTCCTCCTCCTGCTCCTCCTCCTGCGGCTCGGAGGATCCGCGCGGGACGGGACGAGACGGGACGGAACTTACGTGTCGCGGCACGATGTCGTTGGATCGGATCGCTGGATCGCGGTTCCGCGCGTTGCGGCAAGGGTTGCACGGTGTTGACATCACGGCGATTAATCCCTTCTGCGTGTACGAGTGTGCGTGACTCCGCTCGCGAGAGTCTGTGTTCACAGTCGAGCCGCGCGCGGTCCACCCTGCTCTCGGCGCCCGTGTCACTTTTCGACCGTATCGTTTTATCGCTCTTTCGCTAAACCTCTCCACCCGCCGCCCCTTCGAATTCGGAGTGCTCGGCGCGCCGATGATGTTTCGGAGAGACTGTCATCCCGTCGCTCGAATCAAAACGTCCCCGTGACTGGACCGCGAAGGGGAGAAAAGGGGAGAAACGGGGTGAAAGGGAGGACGAGTCCCTCGGTAGCTCGGAGGTGAAAAGATAACGCGCGCGACGTCGCGGCGACGTGCGCGATCGCCGACCGGGAGCGTGGATTCGACGCCGAACTCGTCGGGAATTGCACTGGCCGGTTCAGCCCTTTACTCCGTGCCGGAGGGGTGGCGGCATGAGAGAGCGCGTCGCCGAGGAAGGGATAAACGGAATGGGAGGGAAAGGAAAGAGCGAGAGGCTGGGCGCGGTGGGGACGGTGAGGGCCGGCGTGGGAGGATGGAGAAAAGCGGGCGAGGGGGAAATAGGGAGGGAGGGGGGGATGAGGATATATACCTAGCAGCATCCACAGTGCTGAAAACCACCGTGGTACATTTCGCGGAGCTCCCACGAGGGACGGCGAGCAACGGCGGCGGAAGCCGTGACGGTGGATAGGGGAGCCGACGATGAGGGGAAGAGCGAGAAGGAGAGAGAGATAGAGAAAGAGGGGGGAGGAGGGAGAGAGAAAAAAAGAGAAGACAGAGAGTGGCGAACGAGATGGAGCCGGTGGCCTCTAGAAAATTAAAACAAAAAGCATAGGGAAGCACGTCGTGTCGCTGGAAACGGACTCGTACACACGCCGACGCGCTCCCCCGCGTCGCGTCGCGTCCGTCTTTCTTCCGTCGCGTCCCTTCCGCGACGCCCTCCCTCCTCCCCGCGTTGGGCGCGGGCACTTTTATTTCCCTTTATCGTTTATTATGAGTGGTACGTTGCCCGCCGACACGCTCGTCCTCGAAAAAGACGCGCAAGAAGGTGTCGACGCGGGTTTTTTTTTCCCTCCTCTCGCGCCGGCCTCCGCCACCCCCCGGCCCCGCAGCTTCCCTCGAGCGTTCGCCCCTCGCGGCGTCGCTGCCGTAAGAAAGTCGAAAATTCACCTTGGAGACATTGGGGACCCATAGATCGATTTTGTTAGTCGATATTGTATGTGTGTGTGTGTACTTATGTTAGCCTGCTTATCTCGTTCTTCCATTTTGGACGCGGCGTCTCTTACCGCGTATTCTTTTCTCCCGTACCTTTTGTGTTGTACTCGATAAATCCCTGTATTTTCGATGCGGGTTAACAATGATATTTAAATAGTATCCAGTTTCGAAATACGCTTACACGGGCTTATATACTTATATGAATGTCTGCAAGTTCTGCAAGACAAATCTGGGATTTAGAACGATCGCAACAGCGCCCGTGCAAAAAGTACGCTTTCTCGTGATGCTTTTCTAATAGTGAGCTAACAATAAGTTTACTACGAGATTCTAAACAGAACCTGCAAAATTTATCGCATATTGTCGCGCGAGTCACATAATCAGGTATATTCGATTATAATTGCAATTTGTACAGCGTTTCCAATTGGAGTCATTCTCGGCACAATAAATATTAAAAGGTCAGTTCTCGTAATATTAGTTAGGTCAAATGGTGAGTGCTTCTAGACTCGTCAGAAAACATGTTGTGAATCTTTTGACCAAGCGATCATAATCAACTAGTCCAGAGACGAAAAATACACGGAGAGAATTTTCTCTTAAAATTTATCCCGAAAATCGTGTGATCGTGGAACAACGTAGCATTTTGAACAACTTTGTGAGAGTTTCTTGAAAATTTACTTTACATTTTACTAGTAAAATGTATACTGAGTATAATAAAAAAACCTAGTAAAATGTATGGTAAAATTTCGAAAAACTCTCACAAAGTTCTCCGAGATGCCGTGCTGTCCCACGATTACAAAATTTTCAGGATAAATTTGAAAAGAAAATTCTCTCCGTGTGTGCAAATCGAAACTATAAAACAACAGTATATAATTCCGCAAATACGTTACAAAACAACGTCAGTACAGATAGGATACGACAGTCAAAAAGTCAAACATTATACATTTTGCGTTATCGAGAATTTAATTTATTTACTTCATGTTAAATTGTTGTGCTATTAACTCTTCGCATCGATCTCTTCTATTTCAATTAAACTTTACTCCCACATGTGATAGCGTGCCAATTTATCTACATACGTGAATAGCGTTAAGGGGACGCTGGAATGATTCTGTACTTTTTGCTCCTAGAACTGTCAATTCATGAAAACATTTGTGTAGTATACAAATTATGTTGCTTTTGTGTACAGACCGACAGTATCCCGCTGTTTGGACTAAATCAGAGAACAGCATGGTATAATTGAAACTAAGTTTAGAAGCCTAAAAAGAAATCTATTCACTTAAATAAGTTAGAGATTAGGTAGCCTATAACATGCTGTTCTCTGATTCCGAGTAGCGGTACACACTTTCGATTTGTACGCATAGGTCTTATAATTTGTGTATTCCCTTGGGAAAAAATACCACAGAATATCGTAAAATTTTATTTTAGAAAAATAAGAAATATGAAAAGTAAATTTGGACACTTAAAACTTTTATTTAAGATAAACTTAAAACTTACTTTAAGAATTTAAAAGAAAACTTTAAGAATTGTGAAAAGTATGTGATATAATTTATAATACCGCGTGCGGTTTTCTTCTTCCCTCTAGCGGGACAGACAGGCTTCGCTATCTAAAATTTACTTTACTATAAATGCCCAAAATTATTCTAAAATATCTGAAATAAACTTTTAACTTGTTTAAACAAACTCGTAGGTTCGAAAGATTCCTTTTAAAACCTTTAATTTCATTTAAAGTAAATTTTCCCAAGGGTGACACAAATGTTTTCATGAATTGACAGTTCGAGATGCAAAAAGTGCAAAAGGTGCAGAATCGCTGCAGCAGTCCCTCAAGATACGGCAAAGTTATCGCGAAATTTGCGATTTGTGATAACGTTCGCGTAATGACGCGTAAGAAGAGAGTTGCAGGAGGCAACTTTTACACGCGCCTACAAATATACGTTCAAATATCGCGACTATTATCATTACCGCGCGTAGCTTGTAGCGTCGTGCGAAAGCGCGCTTTAACTCCATGCGTTATCATTAAACCGGATAAACAAAACGTGTTGCAGTCTGCAAATCTGTCAAGCTGTCGTGGAACTGTAGCGCACGCATTACTTCATTTGCGTCACTTTACTGCCGTGCCAGGTTACATTTTCTTTCCACCGCCTCTCGTCGGCGAATCCCTTAACCAGGAAGTTGAAGGTGTTCATGGAAAGGTGCTTCAGGGGGAATTCACACGCTCGGGCAAAACTGTCTTCACCCGTACGTCATTGAGAGTTCTTCCGCGCGCTTCATATCGCGGGAAAGAATCCAGCGCGCGCGCGCACCCTCGCGAGATAAATCGAGTTTTGGAACGCGAGTACGCGGAAAGAGGGGCAAGGGAGACAGGATCTTATTGAAGATAGGTGTGTGCTTAGTGGACGAGCGCGATTTATCCGCTATTTCTCACGAGATTTATCTACCCATTCTTTAATCCTTCTCCGTGCCGCGCCGAGAAACTTCCACTATCTTTTTTTAATCGACTCGGAACTATTTTTTTCCCGCGCCACCTTTTGTGCCAGGCGGAGTTTCTTCGCGCGCGCGCGCGCGCTCGCGATAAATCGAAGTCGTAGGGACGGAAGCGAATGGAAGAGAAAGCGAGAGGGTGGATCTCGCCTTATTGCGGGCGTATAAACGCTCAGAGCGCGTGCGACTCTTCCGCCATTTCTCGCGAGACTCTCTATCGTCTCTTTAATTCTTTCGCCGACTGTTGGGAATAAAATCGAATCGAGAACGGCGCGCATACGAGCTAACCAGACGGATTTTATCGTGCGTCACACGCTTCAGCGAAGATTTCGTGCGTACCGAGCTTAATCCATTCATGCATTCTCTCTTCGCGAGATAATACCGTTTTCATTCTTTGCAAACGGAATATGGAAGTGATATACAAAAAGGCTTGAATTTTTCACAAAATTCTTATTCCTCTTCTTATTGAAATTTTTCCAGATCTCCTGAAATCTAGACCGTTTTCAGATCAAATTACATATAATATTTGACGACAATAACGAAGAGAGAGCGTCTTTCATATTTTTATCATAAATTTGATAACATCCACAAAGTAAAGCTTGTCGGTTTAACGTACAAAGACGGGGATTTTAGCCACGCGCTAATCGATACGCTTTTGTAAATTTCTGGGAGAGTGGGCCATGTTGAGGGATGGCTGAAGTTCGTGTAGACGAGAAAAGAGCTCGTCACGGACAGGCAAGTGCAGAACAATTCCCGTCGTCCTCATTTTATCGGTCGATCTACCCTCGTTTTAATTCCACCGGTACGACAGGGCACGTCCCGCCTTACGAGATGCGAAATCTTTTATTTACTCACGTCACGGTTGCAACTTTTTATTTTTACATCAAAAATTTCTCTCGCTCTCGTATTCTCGCGCAGGATTTTGCGCTCTCGCGCGCGCGACGAGATAAGGGGACCAGGGGTGCCAGCCGGCTTATGTATAAAGGAAGCAAGAGGTGCCTTCTTATTGCGGATAGGTACTTAGTGGACGGGCGCGATTTATCCGTTCTTTCCGCCGAGATTTATCCGGCCTTTCTTTAACAACCTCCATCCCCGCCCTCCCCCGGACTCTCCCGGAACCTTCGCCTATCATCGGGGGTGCAATACGTCTGGTGCGATAAGTGAGTACGCGCCCCCTCTCCCTTCCGATAGTAATAAGTTCCCACAACTCCCTCGAACGAGGCAAGTCGAGCCGAACTCGCGAAACTTCTGTCCGTGCGTATCTTATTAACGTTTCTAGCGACGTTC